ACAGATGGAATACCAACATAGGAAACAAGTGGAATCCATAAAACAGATGCAAACAGATTTCCAGGAGATTAAAAACTCCATTGAAAGTTTACGGAGCAAAATGAGCCAATGTGAGGACAGAATTTCAGATATAGAAGATAAGATTGCAATTAGTGACCAGGAAAAGAAAAATTTCTTTAAAATTGTAAGAGAACATGAGAAATCAATCCAGCAGCTGCTAGATGATACAAAGAAGAATAATGTAAGACTGATTGGAGTCAATGAAGAAACAGGAGAGGGCAGATGACATAAAAAAACTGTTCACAGAAGTGATGGCAGAAAACTTCCCAAGCAGGGGAAAACAAGTTGACATACAGAAAAGTGACGTATATAGAACTCCAACTAACCTTGATCAAAAAATATCTACTCATAAGCATATAATAGTTAAGATTCCAGAAGTCCAACAGAAGAACAAAGTTCTACAAGCAGTTCAAGAAAAGAAACAAATCACATACAAAGGAAAGCCCTTGAGAATCACAAGAGACTTTTCAGTGCAAACCCTCAAGGCAAGAAGAGCTTGGAGAGATGTATTTCAAGCCCTAAAGGAAAACAGCCTCCAACCCAGATTGATGTACCCTGCAAAACTATCTTCAAAATTGATGGAGAAATAAGAGACTTTCATGACAAAGAGCACCTAGGAACTTCATGAATACCAAACCAGCACTCCAAAAATTTTTAGACAATATCCTAGGAAAAGACCACAAGGATCACAACCTGAAGAAGCCCAGCAGAATGTGTCCATCAGGTATGATGAGAAATTAAATGCAAACGAGGAGAATCCAACAAAAAGAAAATGTCATGATGATGATAAGTCAATGCATATCAGTTATAACTATCACTGTTAATGGTTTCAATTCACCAATCAAAAGAAATAGACTGGCAGAATGGGTCAAGAAGCAAAATCCAACAATAAGCTGCATACAAGAAACACACTTAATTCAAAAAGAAACTCATAAACTGAAAGTTAAAGGGTGGAAAACAATACTCCATGTAACAGGAACACCAAAAAAAGCAGGAATAGCTATCCTCTTTGCAGATAAAGTGTATTTTAAACCAACACTGATTATGAGAGACAAAAAAGGATACTACATCCTTTTAAAGGGAACAATCCAAGAGGAAGAGATGACAATCATAAATAGATATGCACCAAACACTAGTGTGCCAAATTATATAAAACAAATACTAACAGACATGAAAAATCATACAAGCACTAATACTATAGTAGTGGGGGACCTCAATACCCCAGTGTCACAAATAGATAGATCAACTAGACAAAAAACAAGCAGTTAAATACTAGAACTCAAACTCTTGAACAAATGAAATTAACAGATGTTTACAGAGTGTTCCACCCCACAAAATTAGAATACACATGCTTTTCAGCTGCACACAGGTCTTTCTCCAAAATGGATCACATATTCGTTCATAGAACATGTTTAAATAAGTGCAAAGGAATTGAATTTATCCCCTGTATATTATCAGACAATAGTGCAATGAAATTGCAGATTCTAGGCAACAGAGACGTGGCAAGAGGTATCACAATCCCCAACTTGAAACTATACTTCAAAGCTACTGTGATAAAAACAGCATGGTACTGCACAGAAACAGACC